GAACCTTCTTACCATAGTATACAGTGCCAAAACCTCCATCTCCCAATTCCTTAGAGGGATCAAAGTTATTAGTAGCTTCTTCTAATTCAGTGTAGGAGAAGACAGGGACCCCAAAGTAGACACTACCTCCTTCAAGGTCTGGTTTAGAGGAGGGATCGGGAGACGTGTTGATTGAAAGGACGACTGAAGAGACATAATTCAATTTCTTGCGATACCGGATAGCAAGCAAGCCAAGCAGAAGGATAACTCCAGGTATGACTAAAGAAAGTAGTGGTGTAGTCAGGTTTTGATTCACTCATATTATTCATGAAAGCAACAATAAAAAGCAAGGGGGAACTGGGGCAGCAAAAACAAGTTTTGATAGACTGAAGTTGTTGGATGGAATCCATCAAATTTGAGAACATGTGATGAATGTTGCATATGAATAAAGAAAGTTTTAAAACATTTATGTAACATGCATACATCTATATTTACTCATGTGTAAAGAAACTGACAAGAGGTATATTACCTGTTGCTAGAACCACTTTCAAGTGACTTCTTCCTGCAATCACTGTGAAGGAGAAAAACATCAGTTAGCCATGTTTAAATGCAGAATTAATTTACGTTCTATATTTTAAATGCTTGAATTTAACTAATGGAGAAAAACAACACTTCAATTAAAAACGCACCAACGTAATATGAACTGGACTGCTAGAGAGACTGAAGATTTTGGATTCAATTTGTGTGGTGGATTAATACAGAAATAACAGCATGCAAATGCAGAAATGCCAATACCTTCATCCTTTATGCAATGGAACTCTTCGTGGCCATGACATTGGCCTCCATTATGGTGACACTCGTAACATTCCTTTGACACATGCAACCCGATGGTGAATTCACTAGCCAATAGTGAAAATAGATCACTGACATTTCGATTCCGGATTGATGGTAGCATTGGAAGTTGAATAACTACACAGCCAGATGAAAGGTTGGCAGGAGTTGGAGTATTTTGATTAGGATCTGTATAGTAGACAGTGTAGCCTGAGCAGTTGCTGAAACTGTAAAGTTGTGTCTGCAGTTGAGGTTTACTGCTGCTGTTTGTACGGCATTTGAACAAGGTGAGGTTGGAAGAGATTGTATAGGAAATAGAAGGTCTACTAAAAAGAGTAAAGTTATTGAAAATGTCGCAACTTTTGGAGCTTATGAGGTCTCGTAGCGATTTGTCACTAACATTTACAGCTTCATCATTCAAGAATTTCTTAACTTCATACGGTTTGTCCTTCCCCAAATAGATTATTGGTACTGGTTCGCTACAATTGACAGTACACAACCCACATCCGCGATATGTGTCGTTGGAGAAAGGGAATTTGATAGGCCCAAGTTTTCCACAGTTGAAGGACTGTGGACAACCATGTTGGTACCCGTGCTTGTCGTCTTGCCAAGTAGAGTGAACAATCACTAAATGGGAGACAACAAAGAAAGAAAAAATGGAAGGAAAACCCATTCGAAATACCCAATTCAGCAAACGAAAAACAAACCACCATAGCATAGAGGACAGAAATGCTCTTACTTAAAATACAGAGATATTTTTAGTGATTGTCAACCACCATAGATTGTTTATCTGGTAAACACGCCAGTTGACTTGGAAAATTGTTGATAGAAGACTTGCACAGGAGCAGACTTAAAGAACGGAGCCAAGTGCTGCTACGATTTGTTCATTGAAATGGAAGGTTGGGCCAAAGACAACCCCATAGAAGGAGTTTCTTAGTCACTTTCCTGATATACCCACAAGAACTGTAAAGACTTTGACCCATTGACTAATTCAAACTCTCTCAAGAAGTCTATATAGAGTAGAAAATTTGCGACGTTGTTAAAACGTGGAACAGATGGAAAGCACGACTTTTACACACATCAGCACTACACATAACTATAAAATTTATCCAAAATTTTATTCAAAATATCAATCTATGACTCATATATTCGGTACTTATCAATTCAATCTCCACTACATTCTAAGACAATATTTAAGATTTATAGCATTTCCAAATATATATACAACATACAACAATACTACATAGAGAGGCAAAATTTTTGTCCAAAAATATCAATATATAATTTAAATTTAATCTATACATAAACCCACAAGTCACTCTTTAAATCCCAACTCTTTTTTCACATTCTGGGTAATTTTTCTATTCCAATTTCTGAATACTTGACTTTGTCTATCACATATGGGGCCCCAAATAGGCCAAATTTGCATAAAGAAACGAAAGGCAGGTTGACATATGAAAGAAATAAGAGAGTGTAAGAAATCTCTTGTATATATTGTATCTGACAGTGTAAGAGGAGACTCCATTTATAGGAGCTATTGTTTACAACATCATTATGTTACATTACATAAAATATTAGAAAGTGGCCGAAAGCAGCCGAAAGCGAAGGCGTGCTCTGGCATCCTAGCATCCACTATATATATAATATATTAGTATAGCTATGTGTGTTAATATAATATATATAAATATTAATATATGTTACATTATATTAATATATGTTAACAAACACAAAGAAAAAGAAAAATCAGGACTTTTATGAAATAATTTTTCGAAAGGAGTACGATCCTGTAACTTGGAACTAGGCATGCGGTTGATGAGAAAAACAGAGGCAGCAATTGCTTCAAACCAATAGGTAAGTGGAACAGAGGATTGATGTAAAAGAGTAACAGCTCTTTCCATAACATGGCGATGTTTGCACTCGGCAACTCCATTTTGGGCCAGAGTATAGGGACAAGATAATTGAAGGTTAATGCCAAACTTCTTGAGAAAATTATGAAACGCAATGCCAAGAAATTCAAAACCATTATCAGTGCGCAAAATTTTAAAAGAAACCTCAAATTAATTTTCCAAAAAAGCCTTAAAGTCCATAAATTTGGAAAAAAAACCTCACTTCTACAATGTAAAGGAAATATCCATGTAAATTTGCTATATTCATCAACAAACAAGACATAAAATTGGTATGTAGAAGGAGAATAAGGAACTGTAAAAGGTCCTCAGACATCACTGTGAACCAAGGCAAATGGTTGATTGACAGCAATAGTAGAGAGGCTAAAAGGCAGCTTGTGACTCTTTGCAACACAACAGGGTGAGCAGACAAAAGAAGTTTTATTACTACATACAGACAATTGAAATTTATTGCAAAGTACTCGAAATTTGTAAGTGGATGGATGGCCTAGCCTAGAGTGCCATATGTCAAGAGAAGAAGTAGTAGTGCTGAGACATGCTTGATGAGTGAGGGATGAAGGAAGAGCAGCTGGAAGATGATATAGGCCTTGAGAGTGAACACCTTTGTACAAGACAACCTTACTTGTCTTGTCCTGAATAATAAAATGATCAACATCAAATGTTATAGTACAATTGTTATCATTAACCAATTGATGAACTAAAATCAAATTGGCAGAAATTTGAGGAACATGAAGAAGATTATGAAGCTTGAAAGACTAAAAAAGGAGTAAAAAGAAGACCATTACCCTTGTGATGAATGGGAAGAAAGGCACCATCACCAACCATTACTTGATCATGACCTTCGTATGGATGATATACATGTAACTTTTGAAGATCATGTGTGATATAACTAGTGGCAGCAGAATCAGATTTGGTGTAGAAGCAACATAGGCTCTACTTGATCCATCGGATGAATTATGAAAAGGCTGAAAAGAAGAATCCATACAGTACCAACAGTTGAGAGCAATATGATTACTCTTGCCACAAATTTGACATATAACAGAACTAGAATTTGATCTTCCACCTCTACGACCACAATGAGAAAAGTTGCCACCTCTTGAATCAATGCGATCTCCTCTGTAAAAATTACCTCGATAAGTATTTCGAGAACCATAATTCCGAGACGAAGATGAAACGGTATTGGAAACAGAGTAGGCCATGTGTGAATCAGAAGAAACTTTAGAAGCACTTTCAATATGAATAGCCTCAAAACAGAGAAATAAAGATAGAACATCCATGGAAATTGGATCTGTTTTAGCTCTAATTGTAGTTTTGAATGCACTGTATTCTGTTGGGAGACCATTGAGAGTCAAGAGAACTAGATCCTCATCATCAACTGTAGATCCAACCAAAGCCAATTAATCAGCTATATTCTTGATTTGTGCAAGATATTCCTCTATTGATAAAGAAGTTTTGGTGATGTTATGAAGCTTATTCTTAAGCTGATTAATATGTGACCTTGAAAGAGAGGTGAATCGCTTCTCAAGATTATTCCACACCTCAGAACTAGTTTTACAATGACATACAGAAGTAAAAATGGAAGTGGAAAGAGTTGCAGTGATACAACTTAGGAGATGAACATTGACAACTTGCCAATGAGTGAATTCAGGATTACGAGCACTCAAACTTGCTTTGTCTATGATCATTCCAGGAGGGGAAGCAACAGATCCATCCACATATCCAAGCAGTCTAGTAGCACGAAGAATATTGAACAGTTGATTTTTCCATACAATGAAATTGCTAACATCAAGCTTTACAATGACAAATGCGCTGAGATTTGAGATTATAAGTTTTAGATTCGAAGGAAGTTGAAATGAAAAATCCATGGAAGCCATGGAAGGACCTTCGAGCTTGCTAGATCATTCGATAGGCTTTGATACCATCAAGAATATTTTGAATCTATTCAACTTATTTATTCATTACTCAACTATTACATTTTATGCAGAAGTTTTTTACAACTTACAACTGTTAACTCAACCTTAGTTAAACTAACTAAGAGAGATTATTTACTAACTTCTTTAACAGTAAACAGTTAGAAGTTAGTAATGATTGCTGAGGCTTGATCTTGTGTTGCATGACTTGGCTCTGTCTTCTTGCACTGGCTGAGCTGTACACTTGTGAACTATACTTTTATTCTCATCACAATTAACTTTCATCAAGTTTTTGGCCACCCAAGTTACATTTAAGCCTATTTTGAGAAGTTGGCTTTTAGCTAAAAAGTAACTATCATCTTTACTTTTTTACAAGTCTTTTTATAAAAAAATAAAAAATTATTAATTTAATAAAACCCATGTATTTAAGACTAAATAACTATGTCGCAAAAATGAAGGTATGTATCCAAATTTGTATGTATCTAATTATTTGTTAACAACCGCAATATCACAATTAACTTCCCACTCCAATTATTAGCTATTTGGATGGTGCAAAACATAGTTCAAGGATGATCCTTTTCCAACGATTATACAAGTTTTTGAGTCTTAGTCTTGTAATTAACTCTTCCATATCTATCGTCTTTTCTTTAAGATTGTATTTAAATCATGTATTTGGATAGAGATTTAATAAAGTTGAAAGGTCCAGGCTTCTCTCTAGTCCGAGATTGGATTAGAACATGTTGTTGGGCTCATGGGGGCCCACCACGGGTCCTATTTCGATGATCTGAACAGTTCAATGTGTACGTTATCCCTGTAAAAACTTACGTTGATCGGATATCGATAGCTACTTGATCTGATTAGATTTCTGTCAACGGTAAATATAATTTTCAAAATAAATTGTTGACAAAAATATGATCCGATCAAGTAGCTATCGATATCCGATCAAAGTGATTTTTTAAAAAAATAAAGTACTCAATGAACTGTACACATTGAACGGTTCAGATTACTGAAACATGACCCGTAGTAACTCCTATGAGCCCGACCATACCATCTAGTCCCCAAAGTGGACTAGAGACAAACATGACCATGTTGAAAACTACCCAGAACTCGCAGGAGTCTCTGTACATCGCTTTCTCATCCAAGTCAGCAACTCGATGGCTGCCCAAAACAGCCACCGCCACTTTCTTGCACACAACACATAATTCAATAACGACAGGTTTGCCTCACAAGCTGGTTGTAATTTTTCAAGAGCACAAGTAGGCCATTGATGTGAATTTTAAGGGATTGACCTAGTGAGCACAACTTGTGATTTGGGGATGTGCTCTTTTAAGTCTTAGATTCAATACTCACTAGCAGCAATAAGCTTTTTGGGACTAGTCTACACAGGACGTTTACTCTGATTTTACATGGGGTTCCTGCATAGTCGAAATATGCATAAGATGGTCCGGACAGCCAATCATATAAAGGGGTACTTACGTATAGATCCTAATAAGTGGACTTATTATCTAATAGGTCCTATGGAAAAAATTTGTCATAAAAAAACATCACTAATTGTAAGTTTTAGCAACAATTAATAAAAATCATGATAAAAAAAAGTCACTAATTATCAATTTTTAGCGACATATATAAAAAATTGTCACAAAAAAATTATTTTTAGTGGCAATTTTACCGAGACTTATTTTCAATAGAATTTGATGGGAATTAAGTTCAACTATTAGGACCTATTGGTAGTTTATTTTTATATAAATAAATTTTAAAAAAAAAGAAAGAAAAAAATTTGTCATAAAAAAACATCACTAATTGTAAGTTTTAGCAACAATTAATAAAAATCATGATAAAAAAAGTCACTAATTGTCAATTTTTAGCGACATATATAAAAAATTGTCACAAAAAAATTATTTTTAGTGACAATTTTACCAAGACTTATTTTCAATAGAATTTGATGGGAATTAAATTCAACTATTAGGACCTATTGGTAGTTTATTTTTATATAAATAAATTTAAAAAAAAAAGAAAGAAAAAAGTAAGCCATTGATGTATGCTATGTATTCTAGTTTAATTTTCTTTTTGCATTATGAAGCTTTGACTGAATGAAATAGTTTTTTTTTTTATCAACATCATGGAAAATGCTTCCCACCATTTTCTCTCTTTTTTCTTACTTGGAAACTAGTGAGCATTATGCAATTGAATACATTAAATCACTAATTTATGTAAATGCAGAAGTTTCCAGTTAAATAATTTTGTGCCCATCATGTGGTGGTTTTTTGTGTTGGATTATATAAAAACTACCGTGCGCAATTAAAAAATCATGTGTATTATAAAATTTATAATCAAAGCAATTGAGAGTACATTTTATATTTATTTTTATTTTAAATCTATGGTATTACTGCTTATGGGTATTTTTTTCTTTAAAAGTGACATATCTACACCAATTCAAGTATGGATTTTATGTAATAATATAGATTTGTGTATGTATGTCAGTGTGTTGTGCATAGAGAACAAACCATCAGAGCAGTTTATCTTGATAACTCGGTATTCGGTCCAATAGAACGAATCCGTGAAAACAATTCCATCGTCCACTAGCTCCCAATTAAAATCAAGACAAAACCTTGTGTCTAATAAATTATTTGCACCTATGAACTTGTGAACCCAAGATCATAAAAGCTAATGGTGGCGGTGGTCCAATTAGTGGGGAGGTGGCCATGGGCTGTGCGTGGCGATGGTATCACAGCAACGGCGGCCTTGGGTTGTGTTTTTTATGGTGATTTTAGGTTAAGGCAGAAGGTGCGAAAAATGTGGTCGTTATCATAATTTTAATTTCAAAATATGTTGGGTAATTTTATT